ATACTATGATCTTGTGGTTGCGGCATTGTTCCTTCTTCCTGATATGATTTGAATGAAATGATGCAGTTTACTTTATTATAGAATTGTAGAAAAAACTTGTTCTCTTGCTGAATGAGACTTCTTTAATTATAAAAGAGCTATGTTATGTGAAGTGCTGTAGGGGAGTTTTACTGATGCAAAATTAAGAATAAACTCTTGTACAGCAGATACTTAAATTAGTAAAATATTTCATGTATTATGTCCACTTCAAAAATGTAGCTTATAAAGTAAATGTAGCATTAAAAGGAAAGTCCAGTATTACATTTTGTAGTCATGGAATAGTGTTTGTAATTTGGAAAATATAAACATGAATTCATAATTTATTAGTAGTTCTAGTAATTATATATAAATTATGTGTAAATATATATGTATGTAAGTATGTAATTATAGTATTATATAAAAAATCCCAAACAACTGAAGGTAAATTTACCCATGACCAGGAAACTAATTTTATGAGTAATCAGTTATGCAAGATGTACCCTGTTATAGGTACCAGGACTACATTATTTTAGGGCTCTGAAATTATCTTCAAAAATACTTAAATTAAAAGCTTGTTAAAGCAGTAACAGCCAAATTAAAGAAGCTCTGTTTAATAAAGATATGTTGACATCCCACTGTGGTCTGAAGTGAGCTTACTTTAGCATTCAGATGGTTTTGTTATATATTTAAATAGCATCAACATTTTGTAAAATAATTTTTATCACTAGGAGAAATCATCACAATGTGAACAGATATTTTAAAGGTGAATAAAATAAGTTTCTGCTTATTAGACACAACAGTTGTTGTTATGCTTTTATACAGCAGTGGTTTTGTTGTTGCAATAATGATAGAATATCATAGAATATCAGGGTTGGAAGGGACCTCAGTAGGTCATCTAGTCCAACCCCCTGCTCAAAAGCAGGACCCATCCCCAATTAAATCATCCCAGCCAGGGCTTTGTCAAGCCTGACCTTAAAAACTTCTAAGGAAGGAGATTCCACCACCTCCCTAAGCAACGCATTCCAGTGTTTCACCACCCTCCTTGTGAAAAAGTTTTTCCTAATATCCAACCTAAACCTCCCCCACTGCAACTTGAGACCATTACTCCTTGTCCTGTCCTCTTCCACCACTGAGAATAGTCTAGAACCATCCTCTCTGGAACCACCTCTCAGGTAGTTGAAAGCAGCTATCAAATCCCCCCTCATTCTTCTCTTCTGCAGACTAAACAATCCCAGTTCCCTCAGCCTCTCCTCATAACTCATGTGTTCCAGACCCCTAATCATTTTTGTTGCCCTTCGCTGGATTCTTTCTAATTTATCCACATCCTTCTTGTAGTGTGGGGCCCAAAACTGGACACAGTACTCCACATGAGGCCTCACCAATGTCGAATAGAGGGGGACGATCACGTCCCTCGATCTGCTGGCTATGCCCCTACTTATACATCCCAAAATGCCATTGGCCTTCTTAGCAACAAGGGCACACTGCTGACTCATATCCAGCTTCTCGTCCACTGTCACCCCTAGGTCCTTTTCCGCAGAACTGCTGCCTAGCCATTCGGTCCCCAGTCTGTAGCTGTGCATTGGGTTCTTCCGACCTAAGTGCAGGACCCTGCACTTATCCTTATTGAACCTCATCAGATTTCTTTTGGCCCAATCCTCCAATTTGTCTAGGTCCCTCTGCATCCTATCCCTGCCCTCCAGCGTATCTACCACTCCTCCCAGTTTAGTATCATCCGCAAATTTGCTGAGAGTGCAATCCACACCATCCTCCAGATCATTTATGAAGATATTGAACAAAACCGGCCCCAGGACCGACCCCTGGGGCACTCCACTTGACACTATTGAACTAATGAACTAACTTTTATAATAATTAATAGATAATGAATAGATAAATAGATAATGAACTAACTTTTAAAAAAACTACATCTTTCATCACAAAGGATTCCAGAATGCTTAAAAAACCTACACACACTATGCATAGAGTATACACAGGGATTATTTCTTCTGTCATGAAATGCAGCTAATTCTGGGGTGGATCTTAGAATAGGAAGTGAAGAGAAATTAGATAGGCAGAATGCAACTTCCTAAATTAGAATTTAGACAGAACAAGATGTTTAACGCAACTAGGATACCTTTATGGACCCCAAGTGGCTGTGTCCTTAGTTTTACATCTCATCCAAAGCCCCTTGGCTTTGTACCTTCCTCCCTCCTTTGTCATCAGTAGTCCAAATTTGATAACATTCAGGGCACACTGCAAAGCTCACATCCCTCCCCCCCAATCACTTGAAAAGGAGAGATAATTATGAGGATGGTTAATAGATGGAAAAGGAGGGTTGTTTCAGTCTGTAATTTGCCTGCGTTTGCTGGAGATTAGTCATACTGATGGGTATTTTTGATATGTGAATTTTAAATTGAGTCATGGTGCTGGAGAGAAAGGATAGGTTTTACTTTGTATTAATCCAAAGAAATAAATACAATTGTTGCACTTAGAAACTGAGGCACAGAAAGATAAAAGGCCGGAATTTTTGAAACCGGCCACTGATTTTGAATGCCTCAATTTCTGGGTACTCAATTTGAGACAGACGGGATGAGCAGCCATAACTCCAGCTGAAGTTAATGGGAGCTGCAGGTGCTTAACAGTTCTGAAAATCTGTGCCACCATATCTCAAAGTGGATACCCAGGCATGGAGAGTTAGCAGCTTAACAAACTGACTGCATGTGACCTGCCCCACAGTGGGTCAATTGTAGATCAGAGAACAGAACACTAGAAACCCAATCCCATGTTTTACCTACTGGGCCATTCTCGTTGTCACTATGTTCTATCAATCGTTATGTATACAGGACTTTAGAATTAGGTCTAAAATGCATGTGTCTCTACTTTGTTATAATCACAGCCCAAATTTTGTATTCAAGAATCAAAAGTATTCTTTTTGAGATGACAAAACCAAACTTTGCCTATGGCAGCTTTTGAATATTTATTAATTTTGAAAAATATTGGGAACAATATGAGTGTAGAATAGTTAAGAGAGAAAGATAGTGTATCTTTAGTGTAAGATAGCATATGAATCAGCAATAGACCCACTACTGAGATTAATATCCAAAGAACAGCTTAAGCATTTAGCCTCAGATGTTGCTTTTATGAGCATACTACAGAATAAGAAAATTTGCATGTTTCGTAGCAAAACTCTGTCCTACCTTGTGAATATTCCCTAAATGCCACAATGGCAACCCCAAAGTTCTAGTGCAATATCAGTTCTATCATCATGAAATATCCATCATCTCTCATTCCTGCACAAACACACAGCCACACCTCACTGTTGAAAATACTCATTGATGTGAAATTTCTCCATTTATTTTTTACAGTGATTATTTTTGGGGATGGGTATTTTGCTATGCTCTCTAGTTGGACTGACCAACTCTGCTCTCTCAGAGTTGGTAGGGAAAGGAGGTTCTGAGCAGGACTCCTGGACGGTATTTTCCAGGGATAGCGAGAGCTTGTAACCATCATCTCCTAGGCTCCCTGGGCCTCAGCTGCTGCGTTTTTTCTGCAGCTGCCAGCCTACACTTCTGCCTTCTTTCACTCTCTGTCTGCAAACTGGATTCCTGCTCTGGCTCCTTTTCTGTGCTGCCAGGCTCCATGGAATAATACAGGGAGTGTGCACTGTAATTAGCTGACCATTGTGAAGAGCTGGAGAGCAAAAGGGAGCTGCAGGCAGATCCAGGGTAAGGAGACAGAAAACAAAATGTCAGGCTCCTGACTGCAGCTAACTGGCATATTCTGCAGCCAAAATCTGAGTTCTGTGGCATCTTCGAAAAACCCACAAGGCCCTAATTGAAATTAATAAGGCAGCTCACACCTCACAGAGCAATTATTTTGCGCTCTTTGCAGACTCAGGTAGACATCACTGCCTCAGTTTACACTCAGTTCATGTTTTCAAGGTTCTCTCTGCAATCATAAAGATTAGAAACAAATATTTTTTTAAATAAAAGTGGAGATTGTGGCTCATACTTCTGTGGAAAGGAATAAATTCTGTGATTGCAGGATCACAGAATCCCTAGAGCCCTTCTTGTGATGGATTGTGGGTCCTTGCTGTTTCTTAGAGTTTATACACATTGGGACATATATAGCTGGAATAACTGAGTGTTGGAGGAAAGATTAAAAATGATCAGATTGTCAGTGTTTCTTGAAATAAGCTCTTGGGGGCATGGACCACCTTTTTGTTCTGTGTACATACAACACCTAGGACACTGAGGTCTTGGTCTGTGACTAGGGCCCCTTAGTGCTGCAGTAATACAAATGTTAAATAATAATAAATGTTAAATAGTAATTGTATATAAAATATGTATATATAATTGTAATTGTATATAAAAAAATTGTACATTTTTGTGATCACACATATATAGTGTTAATAAAAATTCCTTATAGTTTATGCAGAGCTGGCCATAAGTCCATGCAACACACGCAGTTGCATGGAGTTCCCACTTGTGCCATTTATGCTTGTCTTAAATGAATTGGTTGCTGTCTGGCTTGCCAAGGGAATGAGAGCCCTCTGTGATTCGCAGACATCTTTGGAAAATGTACACAACCTGCTCTGCATTTGTGAAAGGAAAATATTTAATTTTGCTGGGGTTGTTATTGGTTCTAATTCTTCGCTTGTATAATTCCACAGTGTCTCTGTTAATTTGTTTATAAGTAATAATTCTTTAATCCCTCGGAGAAATAGTAAAATATTAATGCCTTGCAAGTTACTGCCTGAGTAAATACACTGGCAGAGGATTAAGAATGACCTGAAGCTCAAATTCTTTCTAAGTACTGCTCTATTTTCCCATTCATAGCTCTTACCTTATCATTTATGACTTACAAGGCTATTGTCATGATTGCAGCGCTGTCAAGCCATAATGCATGATTTATTATGTACAGCAGGTGACTAGTAGTTAACATTTAATCTAAAAAAGACTGTAATTGTTTGTTTTTTCCTGCAGCTTTCCCTGGGTGGTTCATGTTTTTATCAGTGACAAGATGACGATTCATATTTTTACCAAAGGACCCAGTGAGTCATCTTATTAACTCTACTGAAGTACATGATTGGCAATATTCCTACCACAGTAAGTCTCTATTTGTTTCCATTCTCCTGGAAACATGGTACCATAATTTAGTGAGCCTGTAGTATGCATTCAAGAGTAAAAGTATTTTTCTTTACATAATGTAGTAAGTGTCATTATAAGTTAATAGAAATGATCATAGCCAAAAGTAGATCTAATGCTGGGCATTCTACCTTAGTTTTTAACTTAGCAGTAGATGTTACATTACAAGAGAAAGTTGTGCTATAAGCCACATTCTTTATCAGGAATCATATATGTTGGTGTACCTTGCATGCTATGTAGGGAAGAAGTTAAACGTAAAAACGACTATACTACATGAAAGGGATTACTTAGGTATAATGGCATACAATATGTAACCTGAAAGTGGATCCGCATGCAGCTGAAAAAGAATGTTCTGCAACATGATAGAAAGATTGAGGGGAAAAAAGAAATAATCTGTGTGAAACCAACAACATGAATTGCAAGTTAGTGCTGCATGCACAAAGCAAGCTCCTCATTACTCATCTGTTAACCCCTTCTGCCAACCACCTGTTCAGTCCTTTGGACAGCATTTTGTATGATTTTGTTCACCTTATGCTCTGGGATTCCCTTTCCCAAATCCACAGCTTTGTGCCAGGGTATATTACCACTGCTCCTATGATTCACAGTTCTGGAAACTGATGTACGTGGGCAAGTGCATGTGTGCATGACAGTGCTGCTTTTCCAATAGCTTTGATCTGGTTGGGAGAAAGATGAGGCACATTTTATTTGGTTATGCTCCTGTTCCTCTTTTGAATACTCACTTGTTCTATCCTTGAAGGTGATATGCTGTAGTCCAGCCTGAAGTACTTGGTTCCTGTTGAGGTTTACTTGCAGTGCCATGCCACCTTTTCTCACAGGAGAACAGATGGCCCGGAGTTACTGTTTGTTATTTCAGAGTAACTAGATGGTAACTGTACTGATTTATGGCAACTCGTGCATAATCTCAGGATAAGAAGGCAAATAATCTCCTCACTGCATCCATTAACATTAGCTTAATGGAAAAGATCTTGAAAACCAAGATGATATTGGGGCTGGTCAGAAGATTTCCCTACTTGGAGTGCCTCATCTCTGCCCCATTATTGCTTCAACTTCGCTCATGCACACTTGTGCCGTGAATAGAAATGCATACTTGCCAATGCTGGTGTAGTTTCTGAAGTCAATGCAGATTACTTCAAGAAAGGTTCCTACCTAATGGAGAAACGTGTCTTTAAATTAGCTATACAGTTAAACAAAATGGCACGGAAGTTATTAGCTATGGAGATAGCCAGTGTACGGTGAACCAAAACACAGAACTAGGAAAAAAAATCACAATATTATAGAATAGAGCAAGGCTAATTAATGTAGCTGATGAGACTTTTTAATGTAATCTATGACAGGTCTCACAGTGATTTGTGTCAAGTGCAGAAAAAAAGTAAAGATAAATGGAGCATCAAAATATTCAGTGTACTTGTTTGTATACTTAGTGTTGATAAAAGCTAGGAGATCAAAATAGAGCAAGCATATCTTTACAAAAATTGTTTTGGATGTGTTCTGTTTGAAAATGTTAGCATATTATAAACCACCTGAAAATACTTTGAAACAGTAAGATAAATCATATAAAAAGAGGATGTTAAAAAGTTTATAGTCAAAACATGACTGAAATTGGAAGAGAATGTCCTCCAGATTTTAAATATCTAGATTTCTTTGGAAGTTTATGAAGTAGACACCGCTTGTCAGCAAGGTTTTCTTTTTCCATATCTATTTTTTTGGTGGAACTTGCTTGTACCTGAGGACTATGTAGTGTAGAACTAACTATTTGCCACTGTAGAACTAAATGCAAATTCTCTAACAGGGGCCTGATTCAAAGCTCATTGAAATCAATGGAGGTTTATCCATTCACTTCAATGGACTTTAGATCAGGCCTTTAATATACACTTAGTGGAAATATGTTTGAAGGTCTCATACCCACCCCTGGAAATATTTTTTCCACATTACAAACCATTTACCAGTTGGAATGATTTATGCTGTCTACTCAAGGATAGCCCAGAACTTGAATCATTTACTTGGGAGAAAAATTAAACGTCTCCAACACAAATATTCAAAGACTACTCCTTTCTTTCACTGTAATGCTTCTAGTCAGCATGTAGCCCTCCATTGTTCACCTAGAGTTTTTAAAAGAGGAATATATTGAATGTAAAACATATGAGATGCTTTCACATTCAGAAAATTTTTGCTAAGTTAAATTCTTTGTCATGGTGCAGGAGGGGATAGCTAGAGATGTAGGGCTGTGGAAATCTGATGGCTATGTAGCTCTCTTCCTTAAAAGTTACAAACTGGGTAAAAAATATTATTAGAATTTGGAAATTCTCATCCATGACAGCATTTCACAAGACCTTTTATATTGCTCCACTGAAATAAGATTTTCTATCTAAAATATTTCCCATGGGAATGTAAGAAATTATGATGTCACCCAATTTAAATCCAGCCCAGGGTACTGGGATTTGAGAAGGATTGTGGAGGGAGGATCACAGTTTTCATTATAACAGATTTTAGTAAATATTATAAATGTGCAATGATAGCCACATAGGGAATGAATATGAAGAAGGGCAATTTCTTTAGTATTCATGTTGAATACTGTCTACCCTAAACTCATTCAGGTGTACAGCGTTTATCTACACAGGAGGTCAGACAAGATTAGAATGGTCCCTTCTGGCCTTGGAATCTACGAATCTATATATGTCACACTAAACTAAGGGGAAGTTTGGGCTGTGTGAGGACTATGGGATTGAGTCTAACACATGAAAAAAGTCTTTTCAGCATCAGTTTAAGAAAACAAACAAAATACTAACCTATTTAGGTCCTGATTTAGCGAGGTATTTAAGCAAGTGCTTAAAACATGAAGCATATGACTAGTTCCACTGATTTAAATAGGACTGATCACACATTTAAAGTTACGTATGTGCTTAGATAGCTTGCTGAATTGGGGCCCCTTACAAGCAATATTAAAAATAAAAATAAATGCTTTAGCAACCACCCAAAACTGTACCTAAGTTTACAAGTTACCTGAAATTTTTCAAATATATAGATTGTATATAACTGAAGAGAGGGGAAGAAAATACACATCAATATTCATGTGCTGTCACTGTGGATTAGAAAATAAAATGAAGCAAGGAAATGTTACAATAACATCATTACAATTTGCTGATACTTTGTTTTCCCGAAAGAAAATGGGAGAATTTTCCTTATCAGTGGAGGGGCTTATCTCTTGATCCATCAGTGATGTGCTTGTTCAGTTGTCAGACATCCGCAGTAAAGCTACTGCTTTCCATTGCAGAGCTAGTCAAACAGGTCATATTTCATATGCACCCAGAGGATGAGCTTCAAATAACCAGTCCATTTTTTAAAGTCAGTCAAGTCCCTTTCTTCACCTTAAATGGAATTTAAGAAACAAAGTTCTCTAAGCAAAAGTGCTTTGTGCTTTCTTCTATAAGGACCTAATCACGCAAGCATTTACACACATGCTTAACTTTAAATATGTGCATAGCCCCACTGAAGTCAATAGGATTACTCACTGCTTACGTGTCAGTTAAGTTTTCCTCTTTGGGGGAAGGTTTGGAGGTTATTTGTTACCCACAGAACATTGCCAGCTGTTATACCTGGATGAACTGGAATACTGTATGTTAAAAAAAATTAAAATATTGTACTTACCAGTATAATGGTAACAGAGTAACAGCCATGTTAATCTGTATTCGCAAAAAGAAAAAGAGTACTTGTGGCACCTTAGAGACTAACCAATTTATTTGAGCATAAGCTTTTGTGAGCTACAGCTCACTTCATTGGATGCATACTGTGGAAAGTGTAGAAGATCTTTTTATACACACAAAGCATGAAAAAATACCTCCCCTCTACCACACTCTCCTGCTGGTAATAGCTTATCTAAAGTGATCACTCTCCTTACAATGTGTATGATAATCAAGTTGGGCCATTTCCAGCACAAATCCAGGTGTCCCCCCCCCACACACACACACACACAAACACAAACACAAACCCACTCTCCTGTTGGTAATAGCTTATCTAAAGTGACCACTCTCCTTACAATGTGTATGATAATCAAGGTGGGCCATTTCTAGCAGTTGACAAGAATGTGTGAGGAACAGTGGGGGGGAGGAGTGCGGGGGGGAATAAACATGGGGAAATAGTTTTACTTTGTGTAATGACCCATCCACTCCCAGCCTAAGTTAATTGTATCCAATTTGCAAATGAATTCCAATTCAGCAGTTTCTCGCTGGAGTCTGGATTTGAAGTTTTTTTGTTGTAATATCGCAACTTTCATGTCTGTAATCACGTGACCAGAGAGATTGAAGTGTTCTCCAACTGGTTTATGAATGTTATAATTCTTGACATCTGATTTGTGTCCATTTATTCTTTTACATAGAGACTGTCCAGTTTGATCAATGTACATGGCAGAGGGGCATTGCTGGCACATGATGGCATATATCACATTGGTGGATGTGCAGGTGAACGAGCCTCTGATAGTGTGGCTGATGTTATTAGGCCCTGTGATGGTGTCCCCTGAATAGATATGTGGGCACAGTTGGCAACGGGCTTTGTTGCAAGGATAGGTTCCTGGGTTAGTGGTTCTGTTGTTTGGTATGTGGTTGCTGGTGAGTATTGGCTTCAGGTTGGGGGCTGTCTGTAGGCAAGGACTGGCCTGTCTCCCAAGATTTGTGAGAGTGTTGGGTCACCCTTCAGGATAGGTTGTAGATCCTTAATAATGCATTGGAGGGGTTTTAGTTGGGGGCTGAAGGTCAAACTGGACAGTCTCTACGTAAAAGAATAAATGGACACAAATCAGATGTCAAGAATTATAACATTCATAAACCAGTTGGAGAACACTTCAATCTCTCTGGTCACGTGATTACAGACATGAAAGTTGCGATATTACAACAAAAAAACTTCAAATCCAGACTCCAGCGAGAAACTGCTGAATTGGAATTCATTTGCAAATTGGATACAATTAACTTAGGCTTGAATAGAGACTGGGAGTGGCTAAGTCATTATGCAAGGTAACCTATTTCCCCTTGTTTTTTCCTACCCCCCACCCCTCCTCAGACGTTCTTGTTAAACCCTGGATTTGTGCTGGAAATGGCCCACCTTGATTATCATACACATTGTAAGGAGAGTGGTCACTTTAGATAAACTATTACCAGCAGGAGAGTGTGGTGGAGGGGAGGTATTTTTTCATGCTTTGTGTGTATAAAAAGATCTTCTACACTTTCCACAGTATGCATCCAATGAAGTGAGCTGTAGCTCACAAAAGCTTATGCTCAAATAAATTGGTTAGTCTCTAAGGTGCCACAAGTACTCCTTTTCTTTTTAGTATAATGGTAAAACATTCTTTGTCTTTTACAAAATCTTTATAGCTACACTTTAAAGTCTTCCTGTCTGTTATTTAATAGTGACCTTTTGGTTCTAAGCTCCAACATTTTAATGTATCAACTTAATAAAATATCCATGTTACAATGAACACCTACTAATCCAAAAGTCATTGTAATGAAGGAATTTGGTATTTTACTTTTAGAAGAAGTTCGATTAATTACACTGCCAACAAGAAACATCAGTTTTGTTTATATATAGTGCTCAGGTATATTGTAAGGGTTGTCTTCCTTACCATTCTATTGTGTTGCAGTAATGTGTTTTGAAAGTAGTCACATTAAACTCATTTATTACTGATTATAATTATAAACAGCTGACACAATTTAAGGAACAAATTTCAAAATATGAATATCTTCAGTTTAACATAAACCTATACAAGCTAATCATCCACAAAAGCAAGGGCAGTGTATTCTAAAAACAAGACTTCAACTGCTTGTGCAGTATAGGAGTAAAAATTACATTGCATGTACAGGAAAATACAATAGCTTCCACTAACCAAAGCCAATTTTTAGTACTTATCTAAACCTATGTCCATAAGATGTCTGGGCAACAAGCTCTCACATGGTGGGGAATTTCTAGTGCTCATTCCTGAATATTTGGATAGTCTCATGAGTGAGCATATTAACAAAAGATCACATCTTCTCTTGGGCTGTGCAGGAGGGTCCATCCATCTTTCCATCACCCAGTGAGTCAGAGCAAACACAGCCTCAATATGCAGCTTCAGACTCAACACACTGAGTCAGAGCCCAAACATTGAGTTTAATTGAAAAGTTATCAACAAATCACAGTATCAATGCATGAGTTATGATGGGAGTTATGGAAGAGTGATGAAAAATGGTATGACCTTTAAGGGAGAAGATTGATAGCGTTTCAGCAATAAAACTCCTTTACTAAGTACGTTTTTGGTGGTTAACTGCTGCAGAGGAGTTGAGGAGGCTTAGGCAGGCAACAGGGGAAACATCACAAAATGGCATTAGTTATTTATTTAGTAGCGGAGTAATAGATTCTGGGGGAAAAGGTTAGAAATGTGGAGAGTATTTTCCACTCAGTAATAATAATATTTCGGTTAGTAATTGGTAATGTTAAGATAGTGACTCTCTCCTTACATATTGGAAGTCTAACACTCAACTGTGAATTTTTTTCACTTTGTAGTTTCTTGAATGCAGTTCTTCACTACTTATGTAATTACTATAATTACACCTAATTATCTAATTGTGTAACAGTGTTTAATTACATTTGTAGTGTACATACTTACCCTCTCAAAATGAGAGTATTTAATTACATAAAACCCATTATGAAACTTCATGAAAATAATGTTTTGGACATGTTCAGTTAGCAGTATCTTAAGCACAACATTTTGTTTTGTTTTTTTCAACTTTTGTGAATTATAATCCTAAACCAATTAATCCACAGACTGGTCTAACTGCCTGCTTATCTTAATATAAAGATGTAAAAGAAAAAATTAAAAAAAAATAAAAATTAAGTTTGCTAAAGTCATGATTTCACCCAGTGCCTTTTATACTGATTTCCAGTCACAAATATTGGAGACTGACTTGAGAGGCTTCCAGAAAGGTTCTACTTAATGGCACCCAAACCTCAATGCAAACCAGAGGTGGGTTCATTATCTGCGAACCAGAACTTGCAAGGTCTGCACAGTGCTGCCAGACAGTTAATTAGATAGGTCAGATAGACTTGCCCAGAGATTCCTCAGCATCCAGCTCTTAAGCCATAATGAAAGAAAAGAAAAAATATGAGATGCTGTGCACCCCTGCATTTAGAAGACTACAGCAACAAATGCATTAGAAATACTGAGGTAGATACATGAAGATCAATATTTTGCATTATTTCTGTTTTTGTTAAATAATTCACTTCAGCAGTTCCATGTGTATATGGATGCTTTTTATTCAGGACTACAGAACTGAACTTGCCCATTTAATTCTGGAGGTTGAAAACTGTACTGAATTTAATTGTAATCTGTGAGTGGTTTTGCACTGAAACATATACTGTTTCCTAAATTTACTTCAGAGTATTTTGGACTAAACAATAATATAATGTTATTGGATAGGGTTAAACCTTGAGAAAATCCAAATTCAAATATGGCCAATGAAAATGCAATGGTTTAGTCAGATATCCAGCTCACGATATAGCTCAATGTAAAATGTATTACTTTCTCATTGTGCCTTCTACAGGTAAGATGTGTGTTTGTCATGGCATATGACAGGCTTTTGTGTGTCCCTAATGTTTTCCTCTTAATATTTCCGTTGTTTTTTCCTAGTTAACCAACTGACTTCACAATGACTGAGGATTTAGATCACAGATTCAGTAGTCTCACTTGGGATCAGATAAAAATACTGGATCAAGTATTAACTGAGGTAATACCCATTCATGGAAGAGGAAATTTTCCAACACTAGAGGTAAAGCCAAAGGATATCATTCATGTCGTAAAGGAGCAGCTTACTGAGAAGCAAATCACTGTTAGAGACATCCGCCTGAATGGTTCAACAGCTAGTCACATCCTTGTGAAACAGAATGGAACTAGCTACAAAGACCTGGACATCATTTTTGGTGTTGAACTACCAAGTGAACAAGAATTTCAGGTTGTTAAGGAGGCAGTTCTGAATTGCCTACTGGACTTTTTACCAAAATGTGTCAATAAAGAAAAGATCACTGCTCAGACTATGAAGGATGCATATGTGCAAAAGATGGTCAAAGTGTCCACTGATCATGACCGCTGGAGCCTCATCTCATTGTCAAACAACAGTGGGAAGAATGTAGAACTAAAATTTGTAAACTCACTCAGACGACAGTTTGAATTTAGCGTTGACTCCTTTCAAATAATACTGGACTCCATGTTAAATGTTTACAGTGATACGGAATGTGAATTGAGAGAAGACTTACATCCCACCATTATTGCAGAGAGCATGTATGGAGACTTCAATGAGGCAATGGACCATTTAAAATACAAACTTATTTCCACAAGGAACCCTGAAGAAATCAGAGGTGGAGGCCTTCTGAAATACAGCAACCTTCTGGTTCGTGACTTTAAGCCAGCAGATGAGGCTGAAATTAAATCTTTAGAACGTTATATGTGTTCCAGATTCTTCATTGATTTTCCTGATGTGGCTGAGCAGCAAAGGAAAATTGAGTCATATTTGCGCAACCATTTCATTGGGGAAGAAAAGAGCAAGTATGACTACCTGATGACTCTGCGTGGAGTTGTAAATGAGAGCACAGTCTGTCTCATGGGACATGAACGACGACAAACTCTAAACATGATTACAATTCTCGCTTTAAAAGTACTTGGAGAACAAAACATCATCCCCAATGCAGCCAACGTAACATGCTACTATCAGCCCGCTCCATATATCAGTGACAGGAACTTCAGCAATTACTATGTTGCTCATGGACAGCCACCTATCATCTATCAGCCATATCCATTTCATATACAAATGCAAAGTGGAATGGTTTAGTAAAAGTTAGCCTCTTCACTGCCCACCCCGCTCCCGCACTTGTCCAAAATAAAGGCCTCGTTACAGCAAGTATTACATCACTCAATTTCATTTTTTGTGCAGATTGCCAATGGTCTTTGATCAGTCAGGGCTGAAACCATCAGTAAGCACATCATGAAATAATTTATGTATATGTAAAATCACTGGCCATTATTCAACAAGTTCATGATGACCGTCATATGTTCTTAAAGCAGATATACTCTGTGACTGAGCTGTCTATCCCTTTTGGCCAAAAAGAGAAAGATATTAACAATTCTAATTGTACAAAGTGCCATGCACAATTGTTCTAGGTTCTAAACCATTCATTAGCATAACTTAAATAGTGCAGCTGGAAAAAATATGCCACTAAGATACAGAACTTAAAGTTGTTCAGTAGAAACACCTGATTTAAAGATGATAGATTTAGAAAACATTGATATTATGGATATATTGAACCTACAGGGCCAAATTTGTTCCTCAGTTTCACTCATATAACTCTGCTAAAGTCTATTTTGCAATGCAGACTGTAAAATCGTTTTTGGAATTTGCATTGATTGACTGAAATGATGAAATACCCTCATAGGTTAAGTGTTTCTCTATGGGCTTCATTCTGCAAGATGTTGAACACTTCTCATTAAGGGCATTAGCAGTTGAGGTCCTTCACCAGAGTGCTCAGCACCTTGCAGGATCAATCCAAATTGCAGCCCTATCCTGTATTTCTTGTGCACCCGTTGATTTCAGTAGGAAATTTGAGTGTACATGTAATGCAGCATTGGGCCCTGAGTCTGAACTACAGATACCGAAGATTGTATAAGGTGATTTAATTATTCTGCACAGTTAGTTATGAAAAGTATATTAAAAGCATGAGGAAGAAATTGAACATTCAGCATGTGGAAGCTTTTTTTCTATACATATTTGATACTGACCAGGGAAAAAAAAGTAAACATAAATATAGAGCGTATGGTAATAATGAAAACAAACAAACAAAACCCCACCAGAACAGTACTGTCATTTTGAAGTGATTTTAAAAAAGTGTTCTTAGTTCTTGCATTTGATATGACATTTTATACTAGAAATGTCCTGTATACATATAGATGTGCGTGCACATATACTAATAGCAAATTAAAATCTCGTTCATGATCAGGAACTAAAACATTAGTTGCAAGTTTTTGTGTGTGTGTTTACCAAAGATAAGTTTTAAACATGTCACTTAAGTGCCTCCTAGCACCAATTGTTCCATGAAAGCTGTAATGCATTCTAGAATTGGTCATGCTGGATAGCTCCTGAAAAAAAAGAAAGAAATAATAAAGAAAATAAAGAAAATTTAAATTTCTATCTATCTATCTTCCATATATATATATGGAAAGCTGAAACATATGCTGTTGGAACTCCACCCGTGGGTTATATAATGTATCGTATACTTACAATGGGTCTGATCCTGCACCAGTGAGGTAAATGGGAGTTTTGCCATTCACTTCATGGTGCGCAGGATTGGGGCTAATTAACCTGATCCTGTTCCCAGTGAAACTAACTGAATTTTGCCAATGACTCAAGTGGAAGCAGGAGCAGGAATTGAAAAAAAAAATCACTAATTACAAAAACATTTAGAGTGGATACTGTTACAAAGTTAACGCTGTTAGTCAACATCAGGTTTTCTTATTTCTGATGCTTCATATGTCACTCCACCGTATCAAGAGCTCATGATGTTACAGGATGTAGCATCATTTCACATCATGCCACGTTGGCTGACCATTATATTTTAAAGTGTTGACTATATTTTACTTGTATACAGACAACTCCCAGGTCTTAGAAAAATATCTCCTGTGTGCAAAATGTTTGATTTATTTTACACAGAAATATGCTACGTATTGGTATGTTAACTCAAACATTTCCAAGTTTATATTTTCTAAAATCTATAATCATTTGCTTGCCAATGAAATGTAACTCTGCTTACTGACACTAAAATGTCTGTAAAGTAGAACATAAACAGCTGTTTTTTAAACAAGATTTTGCTGAATCTCAGCACTTGGGCTAGCCTCTTTCTGTATAATGTAGAGCAATATAAAAACTACTCAATAATATGGAATGATACGTGTGAAATGATCATGCAAAGGAAGAAGGGTGCAATAATCCACTTAGAGGCAAATTAATCATGTGATCTCCATCATGAATACATTATCTGTTTCTTTTCTTGATTTATCAAATATGCCCTGTTGCTTGTCTCAGGGCGCATTTCATTTCACTTCCCCCACTATGCTCATAGATTTCTTATCCCGTCACTTGTGTAAACTGTACTTAATAAAATTGGCAATTTAAATTTCTATCTTATTGTATTTGGTAAGGCTATATGGCACTTAAGCACTTCCAGAAAATTTCCCCCAGTAAAACACCAGGTAATCCACATTCTGGTGTAGTAAATTTTTATTGATTCCGCTAGATAAAATATTGAATCTGTAATTTTATTCTGCTTTTCACCAAAATAAACAGCACCATATAACCCCATGTAAACTCATTTAGACATGACCCTGATAATACTTATGGTCAGGCTTTAACTTTCAGCACATTTATAGTGTCATTAACTTCAGTGTGACCACTCACAAGGGTAATGTTAGGCACAGCTGGGATTTTCAAAGTCGAAAAGAGTTAGCCATGTAAATCGCATGGAATTTCAATGGGAGTTGGACCCCTTTCCTTGGGTTCTTCTGAAATATCAGTCCACATGTGTAGGTGATTGCAGGACTGGGGGTCTTAGCATGATAATGTTACACTAACTTATCAAGAAACCCTCAAACCTCCTTGGCCGTTACGAGAATTTTGTGGAGAAATGTTGTGACCTTCTGAAGAACCAGAAAAAAGGTCTGCCAAGAAGGAGAGGTTTCTTACAGCCCATGCAAACCCAACCCACCATTAACTGGGGAAACATTTCAGACTGTTAGCAGTTTTTACTAACAAGCAGATGCATCATAAATGTGACGTCTGTGTCTAGTAGGATTATAATACTTATTTGAGTAGTGGAGATCTCATTGTGAAAAGTACAGCCTATAATGAAATAGCTGAGGATGTGCATAAAGCAATCACATAACAACGGCTCAGATTTATTTTTTTTAATTCTGACACATTTCTGTTTATAAATTCATCCAGATTATAAAATGAGTTCCTGAACCAAAGCCTATTCAAATTAATGGCATTAGTTAAATTGACTTCAGTGGGCTTTGTTTCAGGCTCCAAGAGAACATAAAGGACGTACTATAGTACTTACAGGTAAATGTACAAAGACACCAATATGCAAAAATGTCTCAGGTATAATTAATCCCTTTTAATTTATTGAAAAGGTCTTGTATTTCTTACCTAGAGGTAGTCTTTCAATTTTGGAGGTTATTGGAGGGTAATAATTTGATATATACACACGCACACAATTACAAAATGTAACTTTTTAAACATTTCATTGAATAAATTACATTGATATTTAGCAGCGGTATGGACCTGGAGATTTTTTTAAAGGTAGTACTGATTCTGTAAATTAATTTAAAACAGGGATGTGATATTTTTAGACTGCTGCTTGCAAAACGTTGACATCAACCTGAAAGATACTATACTGTAACTTCTTCTCCAGTTATTATCTATTTTACAATGTGCACATAAAAATCTCTACAGAGTTAATTCTAAGAGACTTTTTTCAGTACCAGTATCCTGAGCTACATGTTTACATTATTTCTTGTTACAATGTTGCAATCTGTTTAATAATTATAATGATGACTGGAAATTGTAATGCTGATTTTATTTAATCATACTAAAAACTTCTCAAAGTTTACAGCTTCAAGTAACCTAATGTCAGCACATAAGTGTAAAGGTTTTAAGTGCTTTCTTAAAAAATGTCATTTGAATTTTGTGTTAAATTGTAAAAGGTCCATTTGAAGCATATATGTTCTGGTATTTTGTTTAAATTGTAATTTGTGAGCTTTATGCTCAACACATTACAAGGTTTTTTGTGATGGATAAAAAGGTGTGAAATTGTTCTCTGTTATGATGTTATGTTGTCTGTTGTGTTACATTGATCCTACAAATGTGTAAAAAGTAAAACTAATTGGCCTGATTTGCCACTGAATTATTCCAAGTTCACACGTGTGTAAATCTATTGACATCAGTGGAGATGGGGTGGCAGAATCAGGGGGGAAGGGGACTAGCTCCCATATAAACTCGTACCTACCCAGGGAGGTGGTGAGCAGAGGTGACAGCAGCACCCCAGAGGGGCTGGAGCAGCTGCCACTGTGCCTGCAATTGTGCTGGGGGGCAGGGAATGGGACCCAGAGGGGCTGGAATGGGATTGTCGTTCCCAGCCTGGTCTAAGATTCCCTCCCCTACCATTCTCAGTATCTCCCCACGCTCCCCCTCCTAGCTCTCCACAAACACATACCCTCCATTTACAGGAAGCTTCTGCCCCTGCTGAATGGAGTTACACCAACACATAACTGGAGTAACACACTGGTGAATCAGGCACATTTGTATATAGAAATATTCCTGAGAAAAGAACAGCAAAAACAGTTTAGGCAGATCAATGCGCCCAGAATTCCTACAGATGATTTCTTGTTTGGTCAGTGTGTTTTTCTACTAATAGATTAGTATCCAGAAACAAACTGTTACAGTGAGGAAGTATTTCATGTAATGTGCCATCTGAAGTTGTTGAAAAACTATTGTAATACTAAAAATTTGTACTAATCACACAGATTTGTAGGTTATGAGTCCACGGTGTTGATGAGTGCCTTTGGGTATCAGGGGAAAGAGCATTAAAAACAACCTTCTGTTTATTCTAGATGCATGGTTTGCTTGTAAAGAGACATTCATTATTTTGTACAAAAATGTCACCTTTAGCATGAAGACACCTCAGTGTGGAGTGGATGCATGGCAGTGAGATTGACATATTACAGCTAAAAAATGCCATTTTGGTCTCTTAGGTCAATAAACCACAAACCCAATTTTGCCATTGATCCACACTCAGAATTACCATTGATTTAAATGAGTTGCATGTACAGACTAACAGGCCCTAAAGTACCACATTTGTCATAAATTATAACAGCTTTATAGCAGTCATTAAAGCATCTTATGTCACAAATTCACATTTTAAGTGCCTAAATACATATTTACCTAAAAAAGCCATGATTGTCTAGGGGGTAAATAATACATGCATCAAAATACATATTTAACTGGGTAATTTATTTGATATTACATATGCTTAAATGCATATTTTAACCTAGTGTGAATACATGTTAATGTAAGCCTAAGTACATATTTACCCAAGACACTAGAATGGCTCTGAAGGAACTAAGGGTCTTATCTAATACCTATTGACTTTGGATCAGGCCCTAAGTTACTTGTGTAAATTCTGCACTTTCCAAAAAGCAAACACATTTCACTGAATTTAATATGTGTTGCATTTAATTATTCCTCCTTTGTCCTCATCCTGCATTCCATACTCAAGTAAATCTCCCTTTCGAGGTCAAGGGAGAGACTTAAATGGTAGTTTTACCTGAGTAAGGCCTGCAGGATTGGGCCTGTATCTCAGGGGTGCTGGAACAATTAGTATAGCAGGGTGCTGAGAGCCATTGAATCAAAGTGTAAACCCTGTATATGATGGAAACCACTTCCAGCCAGGGGGTGCAGGAGCATGTGCTACACCCCTAGTTCCAGCACCTATGCTCCCTGTCTCCCACTGTTCAGTTTTGAGCAGCCTACACCAGCTGCAGGCCTCTTAGCAAAATACACCATTAAGATCTGATAGGTGAGCAGGATTTTGGACCATTATTAATTATTTACTATGAATAAAATGAATTCATTCTGATTGTACCTCATAACAAACCATAGGTAATAATAAACATTCGTTCTCTTGGGTCAATAGGATGTCTGGTCATACAAATGCCATCAATATAAATGAATGTATGAAATGCAGGCATGCCATCCTACGCTCCTGTTCTAACTTAGTGTAGGTGGGTACCTTCCTGTCCTCCATGTTTTAGTGATGAATCTAGTTTCCCCTCCCAGATTTTTCAAGGTCATTTCTCTGAGTAGTATAGAAAGACAATACAATTTCTAGCAGGGTCCTCATCTGTCCCTGTGTGATACCATGGCAGCTTAGATCACTGAGGCATTCCAGCGAACATTACTACTTGTTTGCTTGTGAGGGAAAATTCTAATCTTAACTGTGAAATTTATTCCCCCCTTGGTTTATCTTGGCTCCCTCTTGAAGTCATGTTGCAAGGTTTATCAAATATCCCAAGCTTTTTCTAGGCAGAAGAGGAGGAGACTTAGTGGCCGTATGGTTCTGAGAAGCTAATGGGAGAGCTTTGTGGGGGATCCAGTAGGGTTTGGTAAAGGGTTTATTTTTTTTAAATCTTGGGCTGATTTGTTTTCATTTTATAATATTTGTACTTGTGCCTAGAGCACATGAATTCCTTAAAAAATGTACATCAATAAAATAATCAGTTTCTGAGAGGGCTAGCCTGGAGGGGTCAATGGAGCTACACCGATATGCACCAGCTAAGAATTTTGCCCATATACTTTTCAAATAAAGAGAAGCTGCAATCCCCTGTGAAGTTAAATAGGGAGTACAAGACAAGCAGGGATTAATTTGGGGGATGCTATTTAAACCTGATTTATCTGGGCAAGTAAGTGGCTTAAATGCTTCCTCTTGTTAGTTACTCTGGTGTACTGTTGTACTATTATTTTCTTTGCAAGAATTGGCCAAATGCACTATAATAAGAAATTGTTTCAGGACACAGATTTGTTTATGTTGTACATGGCTACTGTAATTTTCGAAGACACTTAACAGTGGCCTAACTCTGTTCCTACCGAGGCTAATAGAAAAAAGTCCTATTGATTTCACTGGGAAAAAGTTAAGCCAATACTGAACACTTTTGAAATTCCCACCTGATATACATGAAACCCCCTGAAGCTACAAAGCAGAAACTTAGATTTTTAGTCACCAAGAATGATTAGAAATAATAAATCAAATTATAGAAAGCACATGGAATACTACTTAAGCTCTTTGGTTGGTTTTGATCGATCAACTGAATAAAAAGATTATATATAAGATGATACACAATTAAAAATGGTTAATTGTGATTATAATACTGATTTCTGCCAACTCTAATATATTATCTTTAGGTATTATTGGCTTATTCATTTAAATAAGTTGATGCAGATTCATATTGCACAACATAGCTTTCCAGAACAACACTTGAAAAGCCAGTTTCTATTGTCAGCGCATTCAAGAAGCATTGTTGTGTTTCATTCTCATGCCAGGATCAGGCAAACGCGGGTATTCTGTCAGATGGTGGTGTTCAGAAATTCTGCTCACAGCCCTCAGACAGGACTAATGTGACACTAAGAGCAATGCCAGATATTGCTGAGTATAAAGAGTCCAACTGCACAACCCTTACGTTGGTGAGCACTTACTCATGTGAGCAAACAGTGGGGCTGCTCACCTAACTGAGCACTCTTCTGTGTGACAGCATGAAACACACTACCCAAGTGTGACTTTGTCTCCATCTACGGGCTGAACCATGTAAAGAGTTTTACTGCCTTCAAGCTACCATGCCTGATTATTTTCATTCCACTGGTAGAAGCTGATGCTTTTAGTCCAGAGGTCCTAGGTTCAGGCCCCACTCACTACCCTATCAGGGGTATTGTTACATAAAACTTGACACTCTAACGTTAAATGATCTGATACAGGTTGAAATTCATCTGAGAAATTAGGCTTTGTGTGGGGAATTTTGTAGGAGTAGATATGAAAGTCATACTCCCAACCTGAAGGCCCTTCTATAACAGCTATCTCAGCCTGTGGCTGGAATAATTATTGCTGCTCTCTACATCCTCAGCAACGAGTCGTGTGACTACTAAATGCTTTAAGTGCAGATCAAATAGGGCCTTCCCTGGGATACCTCAAATACCTCTCCACAGCTGCTCTCATTGGGTCAACACTGGACCCCGCACAGCGCAGAATACAAGGGGGGTAGAGGCCCTTCTCAGATATTTTCACTGCCTAGCCCACCCTCCTGCAGAGGACTAAAGCAGGGCTGGAGTGGTGAGCAGGAACTTTGTATGGATAACTTTTAAAAACCATCTGGTTTTAGAATAGAAACCTCCCTCTGCTTGCAGGAGTTCTGGATCAGCAGACGGGCAACACACTGTTTGCTTCTCCTCTGCTTCCTGCGGGCTCACAGTAAAATGGAATTAACGTGACATGAAGTGATAGCCCTAGTGACAGAGCTCAAACTCCAGGGTGGATTTGTTGATTTGATTTGTGCATTGTTTGCTGTCTGTCTACTACAACACACACTGAACTCATTCACATACCGCAGGGGCTTCCTGCCTACTTTAGGTCTGGTTGATCCAGTTCAACTGGCTATTTAATAAAAGATGTGGTGTGTCTGTGTTTATTTTGTGGCCCAGCCAAGGATCGTGGCCCATGTTACATCCCAGACAATGCTGTTTTTGGCAACAGGTGTCAAGTGTAGAGCAGATGCATTTTCATGTTTCTTTCTAATCTGAGAATACACAGACACCATGTTACCTTTGCTACAGAAATTTTGAAATATTCTAAGAAAGCCCCCTCTACTACCAAATGTGTAATGAGATTAAATGAACCTTAAGCAAACTGGAGATGGAACAGATGAAAAGTGAAATAAAATTCCTCCATTTGGGAAATTAGGTAATTCTCCTCTCTGCTTTAATGTTGCCTCTAAGTTTTGAATCAAAATTCTCCTTAGCATTTTGCCATTGATGCTCACTGCTCATTTTGGATTAGTCCTAGATAGCTCAGCCCTGCATATAATTTTTGGAAAGTTCAATTTTACGGTTAACAGATAACATGTAATATCATACAAACAGTTGAAGGGTCAGTTTTGTGATAATTTATTTTAAACATAGAAACATAAGAACATATGAACGGCCACACTGGGTCAGACCAAAGGTCCACCCAGCCCAGCATCCTGTCCGCGACAGCAGCCAATGCCAGCTGCCCCAGAAGGAGTGAACCCAACAGGCAATGATTAAGTGATCTCTCTCCTGCCATCCACCTCCACCCTCTGACAAACAGAGGCTAGGGACACAATTCTTTACCCATCCTGGCTAATAGCCATTAATGGACTTAACTTCCATGAATTTATCTAGTTCTCTTTTAAACCCTGTTATAGTCTGAGCCTTCACAACCTCCTCAAGCAAGGAGTTCCACAGGTTGACTGTGTGCTGTGTGAAGAAGAACTTCCTTTTATTTGTTTTAAACCTGCTGCCCATTAATTTAATTTGGTGGCCCCTAGTTCTTATATTATGGGAACAAATAAATAACTTTTCCTTATTCACTTTCTCCACACCACTCATGATTTTATATACCTCTCTCATATCCCCCCTTCGTCTCCTCTTTTCCAAGATGAAAAGTCCTAGTCTCTTTAATCTCTCCACATATGGGACCCACTCCAAACCCCTAATCATTTTAGTTGCCCTTCTCTGAACCTTTTCTAATGCCAGTATATCTTTTTTGAGATGAGGAGACCACACCTGTACGCAGTATTCAAGATGTGGGTGTACCATGGATTTATATAAGCGTGTGGCAGGGCAAGGGTAAACCCCTTTAAGGCCCTGCCAAAATGCTGGCTGCAGCCTGCTCTCTGGCCAGGTGTCGAGATGCAAGGAGCCCAGCTGCAAGCCCTAAGGAGAGCTGGCTCAGAGGAACATGCTGAGCTAAGTGCTGACAGCTGGGCTGAGGCATGAGAGGGCTGTAAAAGCCCTGGACAAACCTCAGTGAGGAGGCTAGCCTGG